CAATGGATAATGATATTCATTAGCTACTTCCTGTAGCTAGCTACTTAAAACACAACAAAATAATTATAAAAGTTGAAGCTCAAAGTTAAAGTCCCAAGAAAACAGTGCTGTTACTTGCTGAAGAATCACAGAATCGAAGAATCACAGAATCGCAGAATCACAGAATCACAGAATGTTAGGGGTTGGAAGGGACCTCCAGAGATCATCGAGTCCAACCCCCCTGCCAGAGCAGGACCATCTAGTCTAGGGCAGGTCACACAGGAACGCATCCAGACGGGTCTTAAAAGTCTCCAAGGTAGGAGACTCCACAACCTCCCTGGGGAGCCTGTTCCAGTGCTCTGGAACCTTTACAGTAAAGAAGTTCTTCCTCATGTTGAGGTGGAACTTCTTGTGCTCCAGCTTGCAACCATTATGCCGTGTCCAATCGCAGGGCATAAGTAAGAAGAGATTGCCCTTTCCTTCCTGACACCCACCCTGCATATATTTATACACATTAATTAGATCCCCCTTAAGTCTTCTCTTCCCCAGACTAAAAAGCCCCAGGTCTCTCAGCCTCTCCTCATAAGGCAGGCGTTCCAGTTCCCAAGTCATCTTTGTAGCCCTTCACTGGACTCTCTCCAGTAGATCTCTGTCCCTCTTGAAATGCAGAGCCCAGAACTGGACACAGTATTCCAGGTGAGGTCTCACCAGGGCAGAGTAGAGGGGGAGCAGGACCTCCCTTGTTCTGCTGGACACACTTTTCTTAATGCACCCCAGGATACCATTGGCCTTCCTGGCCCCAAGGGCACACTGCTGTCCCATGGACAACTTGTTGTCCACTAGGACTCCAAGGTCCCTCTCCACAGGGCTGCTCTATAGCAGATCACCTCCTAACCTGTACCGAGCCTCTGGTGCAATATTTTAGACATCAAGAAATTAAACCTGTAAGCAATAATTTTCTCTAAAAGTAAAAAGAAAACTACAGAAATCTGATGTATTTGGCAACACTGACAAATGGAAATACAAACTGATATAAAATAGATTATAAAGAATTGATTATAAATGATAGCTGATTTACAGTTCTTGCAAACTGCTGTCCAAATGGTTCTTGTTATGTCCATTTCTATGACATGCTACCATAGCATGACAAAAATCTGACTTAATCTCAGGGTTATTTTGCTCTACAGTATTTATTTCTGCACTGCGTGTGGAAGTAGGTTACTTATATGTACTGCATGTCGAAGTAGGTTACTTACAAACAGTAGTTAGTTTTGGCATGTACAACACTCAAGCAAACAAAGATTCCTGGAATTAGAAAGAAAACTTCCAGTAAAACAAAGATTGAACTCTCAAGAGTTCAAACGAACCTCGACTAAACATGACTAATGTTTAGAGATTACATGTTACTATCTTTAACTTTTTGTTTTTCAAGTGGAGTGGTAGTAGAGCACTTAAAATTAGTTCTGTTCTCCATAAATTTGTAAACGAATTTTCTGATACTACTTTTACTTTAGCAGACACGCGGTTTGGGTTTCTGTGGGGTTTTTTTAGTAATACTCAGTCTTCTCTCCACTGAGCCAATTTTATTTTGTTATGACTGCTCACTTAGATCCACTACAAAGGCACAGCCTTGCTGAATTTACAGGTTTTGACTAGGTGTTTTCTGTGTATTTACTATTACAGTGATTTTTTTCCTTGAAGAACAAGTGGATGTGAGCATTGACTTTGCTGAACATTCCTATTCTGCTTGAAATTATTATGTTTGTCCAGGGATGACCAAGTAAATTGTTGTTTCTTCATGGGATGAAAGAGGAGGAGGAAGCACATAAGAACAGGAGGATAAAATACCACTATAAAATAACAAAGCAGCCAAAATATGAAGTCCAAGTTGCTGCACATTTCATTATATCAGGAAATATCTGAGAAAACAGACAAGACCATAGGCTGTCTGTATTGGTACATGAAGTATTTATGCAACTGTAAACAATAATGCTTAACATGTAATGTATAAGAAAAAAACTTGATACTACTATTCATATAAAGAATGAAGTTATATTAAAAGATGTCAGAATGGAGTAACTTTAGAGGTACTGGTGATGAGATTGAAGTATAATATTACTGGGGGAAGGATAAAAGAGGTAATATTTTATTGGTTAGTTAGACACCAAATTAGTCTCTCAAAAGTCAGACTTTCTTTAGTCTTGTGACTGAGTATGTAAGTAACCTGACTTGGGTTTTGTCTTTCCTTAGTTTTCAGGGTTAGGGCTTCAAGTACAATGCAGTAGAACTGCAAATAATTTTGAGGAAATAAATTAATTTGTTCAACAAGTTGCTAGAAGAGCTCACTTTCTGCTTCAGCAAAGAAGAAATAGCTTCCATGTCTTACTGGCTTTAATATTGTTAACTAAATGTGAGAAGCTCTGGCTCAAACCCACTGAGTTCAGTGAGAAACAGCTTGAATCCACAACATTCTGGATCAGGCACAAAATTGTTTTGATGGCTTCATGGAGTAGGTATATATAGGACTGTGAGCGAGTACAGCTGATAACATGAAATCTTGGTCTCACTGAATTCAGGAGAAATTTTACTGTTCACTTAGAAAAGCCTGAAATGATTTGTGTTAACTTATTTCTGTGTATGATGGAGTGTGCTGGCTACAGAAAGCTCATGAAGAATGATAATAAAGAAAACAAATCCTTCATCAACACTTGAGTTTTTCTACCACCAAGCTATATTTTTTTTTAAGGTTTTATAGAAAGAATAAAAAGTGAAGATAAGATTTGCATTCCTTGAAAATGTTAAAATACCCTAGAGTACCATTTTTTTTTTTTTTTTCACATTTCAATCCATCCCATCAGATACAGGATAAATGGTAAAAAGGGTAAAATTGACTGTTTTGCTTATACAAACACCAAGCAATTTGGTGAGGAACCAGGATCAGAAAACATAAATTTCTACCAATGAGATGGGGTCATGCATTATGCCTCAGTACAATTGCATCTGCAGATATTTAACACGGTTAGGGGAGTGGTGCAAGAGTCCTGTGGTGTGGGAGCTCTGCCACTAGTTCAGAGGAATTGCTGCTATCCTGGCCTTTATGACCTTAATTCCTAAGGTCAAGGTTAGGTGTTTTAGAGTTGTACCTACAAAAAACAACTAAAGAGAAGAAAATACACCAAGGTAATCAGGAATAATAACAATGAAGAATTAAAAATCCATCACCATCTTGCTTTTAAAATTACATATAATTTACTTGAATAATTATATTAAAATAGGTTCTTTTTCTATGCTTGGATGCCTCTGCAGTATACTATTTCAAATTAGCACTGGAAAAGGATTTAGCTGAAAAATGTCTTTGAGTCCAAAAGAAACCTTCATCATACCATACAGCTCTTCTGTTAATATTTTCAGGGACAAAAATACACTTATTCTTTTTACGAAAAAAAAAAAATAGGAAAAAAAACCCAGTAAAACTGGAACATAGTGAAATTATGGAAAATCTAGATTACAACTCCAGTGAAAAATAAATATGGGACAAATTGGATAGGAATATCAAAGTATCAGTTCTGAATGAAGTATGAAACAACGGGCGGAAAAAAACTCCACCCTTTTTAGAACATTTTGAGATGTGTGAAAACTACAAGTGCTAGAACTGTGAAAAGGAAACTGGGAATTTGATCCATATGTTCTGGAAATGCCACTGCCTACAGCTAAATTATTTTTGGAGACAAGAACAGAGAACAGAAGAACAACTGCTAAAGCTGTTATAAACACAGGGTCTCCCTGGTGATGCAAAGATCTTACCATGGTAGATATTAATGAGTGACTATTACCATCTGGATACCATGTATGAAGAAATCATCTTTAGTATGTTCTAGAATAAATACTACCATGGAACATAATACTATTTATCAATTGTCTTTTCAGTTCTCTGAAGAGAAGTCATTCTGCTATCTCTAAGGGGAAAAAAAATCTCTGTTCAGGGTGGTTCACACATTGATTTTCTTCGTATAGGTGAACATAATTTAAAAGACAGAACTGATCTAAGTAGTTCTAGTGCATTACTGAAGATCATATTTTAAGCTTGCGAGGCTCTTTAACATGGTGTGTATGTATTTTCAAAGTGAAATATTTTTAAAATTTGCAATATATGAAATAGCTGTTAGATCTGTGGTCAGAGTCTGCTATTGCTTCTCAAAACCAAAAGCCCATCATGCTCATTACCAGAGAAGTAATTATCAATTAACTTGGTAATTAAATGCCTGACTGGGAGGAAAAAACTTAATTCACTGTGCTATAAAGACAACCACCAAGCCTTATATTTCTATTGTGCACTTTGAGCAAGCAGGATCTTCATACCAGTTGGCATCTTCCACTTTCTACTTGAAAGGCTGACCCTGTTCACCTATGTTTCTGACATTTCAGTAGCATGCAATTTTCACATTCAGTTTATTCTACACACTTGGTACCCATTTGTACCCTTGTAGTATGCAACATGTACTCTCATAATTAGTTCATTCTAGTAACTCTTGCCACAGAAAGGGATAAAGATCAACATAAAGAGTGATTTAAAGAAAGTAGTATGTGCATTTTCTTGGCCATACCAGCAAATTCTCCCTGAAAAAGTGAAAAAGTGTTTATATCAAATTCTGAATGGTGGCAACTATATCCCATCTGTTTTGTTCTGGTTTAGGAAGGAATTGCATCAATCCGCAATGTTCTATATACCACCTCTCCCTCACAACAGCCACTAAGCAAAATGTAGCAAGAAAGTTGTGACTGTCATGTTCAAATAATCAAAAAATGAGTTTCTTTTATTACAAATGACATTTTAAAATTATATTAATAACACACTTCTTGTTTCATACTAATTTTTACTCTTCTTTGGAAAAAAAAGTCTTTGCTAAGCAATTTATGAGTTTTGAAAATAAATAGTGCTCTGCACATATAATCATCAAATTTGAACTGACCCTAAGTACAGTTTTTATCTTTCATGTCTTTATTCATTCTTTTCTACATAGTATTTGTGGAATTCAGCATCTGGAACGAGCAGGAAACAGGTTGACTCTCTTTGACTCCCTTTATTTCTGCATAGTGACATTTTCCACTGTGGGCTTTGGGGATGTTACACCCAAGATATGGCCTTCAAAGCTGCTTGTTGTCATTATGATCTGTGTTGCTCTTGTGGTGTTGCCCATACAGGTAAATGTGCATTTTTCTTCTCTTTAGAATTGTTTTCTAACAAAATATGAATAACTGATATAATTTATTGTTAGTATTACTACTGAATATATAATGTCTGAAAAAAATGTTTTATATATCTCCTGTTTTATTTTTTTCTCCTTCCTTTTTCCTTTGTCTGTCCTTCTATTGTCCAGATTTATGCTAGAAAACAGAGCACTAATAACAGTTTTCAAGTGCTGATGAAAGCTTTCTGTTCCTGTTGTGCACCACAGAGCCCTTCCTTCATCCTGAGATATGGGTTTATTATTAACAGAGGAATTTAAAAAAAACAAAACAACAGTAGCCAGCACTTTCTGAGCATAGCATTTGTTCTGCAGGCTCTCCCTGTTTCTAATCCTGGTTCTCTCTACTTCCTCTCTTACAACTTAGTGCTAACTTGAAAAAAAAGCTTAAATCTGCAACTCAAGCAAATTGGGTTCACAACTGTGTACATCGGTACACACACAGAGCCAACAGCACAGTTAGGAATTTTTGATGCCTACTTCAGTTTAGGACTTCTAATAGTTTTAACAGGAAAAGGCTGATTTATGGAAATCCAAGTATTTCAAGGAGTCAGTCAGTTGCATTAAATTTGTACCGAAGATTCCTCAGCTTATTAGGTGAGGCTAGATGAGAGAAACCCTGAGATAACATGAGAAGCCGTGCCAAGAGGTTAACAGTTCCACACTTGGTGATCATCCAGACCTTATGCCACAAAAAGGGCGTGTGGGGAGACATTGTGTGTGCTTATCAAAGCTTACAGTAGGTGAGATAGATTCATGGCTGCTAGACCATGAAGCTCCAAAGTTTCTCACACAGACATAGTTTCCAGACTCTGTTTCATTCACAATGAAATAAAGCTCACTGTGACAGAAACCATCTGAGATTGGAAGATCAGGTTTTTGGCATTAATTTTCTTGACATTATTTGAACATTTTAGTTATATCTAAATATTTAGTGTCTGCATACACAGATATATGCAATAACACAATTATATTCCCACTTAGTAGAAATTCAGTGAACTATATATTCTATTGAAAACTAAAATATGCTTTAAGAAATTTGGAAATACCCAAGAAATAAAATTTCATCTTTCAGGTAGTTCTGATATATACTTCACACATGAGAGCTCTGCAGTACCAGTAAATAACCTATAATCTACTACCCTTTCTCATAAATTTGCCTATTATTAGCTACTTTATTTTATAGCTTTGGAGCAGTAACGGTGGTTCATACAGTTTTCCATGCACAGAATGTGGGAGGCGTTGTCTCCTGAGCTTTTGCCCTGCTATGATATTAAATGAATTATTATTCATGATTCAGTCTCCCAATCAGTTGAATGTGGATAAGAAAAAGCAGCTATCACACAGATACATAGTTAAATTGAGCTCAGTATTAAATGCGTATTACTTACAAGAAGTTTTGAAGTGGTGTTTGTCTTTTATTACAGATTGGTGGAGTGGCATCGATCATTACAGTATCCTCTTTAGTGGATTCTGACCAGTAGTGCAACATTTACTGTTAGCCTGCATGTCTTGTTGAGCTGGCAAAGGCAAATTTGCTGTATTAACAGCTGCTATGTATTTAAGTAGTATCTAAATTTATAAGGCAGATCAGAGAGTATATAGATTATAGAACAAGATAGAACATTATAAAACCTCTGAGAAGAGTTATTGCTCAAACCAAGTAGAATGATGTTTCTATCCAAGTATCTATACTCACAGTATACACTGAAGTGTGTAAAAATGTAACCTATCATTTGAGGGAAGCATTTATGTCACACAGCACTGAAGAAAGATAGCTCAGAGGTATAAAATACATAAAGGAAATAAGGTACAGCCTTAATAATTTTCTAAAATCTTGAGATGTATTGTAATCTCACGATATTTTAATGGGGTTCCCCTGTTGTTTGTTTGCGGTAGAGATTGGCTCTACTGCTGTTTTTCAGTCACCCTGTTACTCATCTCACTGACTTTCTGGAGAATTTCTTACAAAGAAAAAGACATTATGGGCTAAGGGCAGCTTTCCATAGAGGCATGAGATGAATGATGCAACATTGTTAAGTCTCGATGCACTCATACTGCACTTCTGCTTGTCTCTATTTCACTGACAATTGACATCTCTTGCAGTTTGAACAGTTGGCATATTTGTGGATGGAGAGACAAAAGTCCGGTGGTAACTACAGTCGACACAGAGCTCAGACAGAAAAACATGTCGTGCTGTGTGTTAGCTCTCTGAAGATTGACTTACTTATGGATTTCTTAAATGAATTCTATGCTCACCCCAGATTGCAGGTACTTAACAGTGAAAAAGAGAAAAAAAATAAAACACTCAAACCCACTGATTTTTTGCAGACAGCCTTCTGAAATGGTCTTTCATTTGTAAAGCTGAACTTGGAAATAGCTGACTGAATTGGGAATCTATATTTGCAGTAAGAAGCCTGAGATACAGTACGGAGACATTAATTGTAAATTGAAGTAAGCAGACAAAATAGAGTTACTGTCTTGTTGAAATACACCAGTCCTTTTAGAAACAGATATTTCCATGCAAGTACCTTATATTCTACCCCAAAATAGAAAGGAAATGAAAACTATTCAAATTATTTTTTCCTGTTGTTTTGAGACTGGATCCAAAACTCCTCACAAGTCAAGGCATCTTTTGGTTTTTACATTTTTCTTTCTTTTTTTTTTTTTTTTTGCCCCCATGGCATTAGGAAGATTAGATCCTTTTGCAGTTGCTGAAATTAAGAAATAAATAGACATACTTCTAAGGGCAAAGACCTTGAAAGATTACACATAAGAGATTTTCTTAGTGTACAGAATCACTAACTAATGAAAACATATCATATGACTTGTTTTAGTCATTTAAAAGCTTATTTATATGAGATAGCAGTTTGGATTCTTTTTTGTTAGCTTTGTTACAGTCCATGTCTTTTACTAAATCTTCTCTTTGTCTTCTACTAAGTTACCTGCGGTACAGTGCTTCATTAACTAGTGCAAAAAAATGCACAAATAAACAATTCTCAAATTGCCAAGCAGCAATTTGACAAATCTCAAATCCAAAATATTCCTCAAAATAAGGAGCTAATGAGAGGCATAAACAAATGCACAAAGAGATCCAGTTCTTTATAGATGCAAAACCAAACTGAAATCCAAAATTTATTTAACTAGCCTGAAGAATCAGTCAGGCTCTGTGATACCACTGGAGACAAAAAAAGAAAAGTCCTAATACTACTTCTGCAGCCTAAAAGAGCTTAGATACAGCCCCTTCACAGCTGAAACAGGAAGCTGAAGGGTACAGATGGTGCACTGGATCCAATAGATGAAGCTTTCTGCAGAAGTCTGGGTGTGCTAAGGAAGAATTCTGTGACAAGCCTGTCCTGAGCTCTCAGTCTTTCCTTTCATGTTTCATTTCTCCCTCCTTTTTGTATGTGCACATGTATACCTCAGAGCAACCTTACTTTTCCTAATGAGGACTGTCTGTAGTACAGGAAACAGAGTTTGGATATGCCCATTAATGTAGAGGAAAAAAATTTTGTAGAGGAAAAAAATTCAAAGCACTTGAATTGTTGAAACCTTCCTACATTTTCCAGCTGGAATGACAAATGTAAGTTGTCTCTAACAAAAATTATGCTCATATGGAAACAAAAATGTTTCTAAATGGACTTTGGTTGCGACCCCGGAGCCTTTTGTGAGCAGCTGACAACCAGCCAACCATTTCTATTGAAGAATTAAGTATTTTTAAATGCATGTATTCAAATAATTTTTGTCAATTAAATTTGAGAATTATCAGAAAAATAATTTGACATCCTGAGTCTCTTGACTCATTCTCTAGGAACTGTAAATGGTAACTAAAAAAAAAAAATTAACATGACTATTCCCCCTTATGTTTTTGACAGGACTATTATGTTGTTATTTTGTGTCCTACTGAGATGGATGCTCAGGTCCGAAGGGTGTTACAAATCCCAATGTGGTCCCAAAGAGTTATCTATCTGCAAGGCTCAGCACTAAAAGATCAAGACCTGTTGAGAGCTAAGTAGGCAAATATTGACCAATATTTGTTTTTCACTTTTGTTTCACTCATACTGTTTGATAAATAAGTTTGACAAACAACAAAAGCTGTGCTAGAAGAAAAGCATGTGTATATAGAAAGCAAGGCTCTTTGATATAATTTGCTTTTCTTTATATCTGAAATTTTTCAAGGAACAAATATTTGTAAGCTCTTTCATTTGACCAAATTTTTCTTCACTGTCTTTTCTGTCTCAGGTTTTAAAAGTATTGCAACAAACTGTCTGTGATTTCCTCTGAAAAAGCAGCATAGTAAAATCCAAAACTGCTAGCAATGCTAGAATTTGTTCCTGTTCCTTGAGCAAAGATAGTAAGTGTAATAGTAATTCTCCTGACCAACTGAAGGGGAAAAAAAAGTAAAAAAAATAACGATCAACTTTTGAACCCATTGTACACTTTTGTTTTCCTCCTAATTCAGCCTGGAAGCATAAACAACTGCTCTACTCCATATACTCTTCTTTCAGGGCCTTCCTCTTACCACATACTTCCAACTACCTCCAAAAAATCCTCTCTGCCACTTGATAGTGGATGACATTGATCAAAACACATCAGTCAGACATGGTTCTTCAAAACCTCCCCACTATTGCACAACACTTGAAGGTGTGATGGAATTCACAGAGGAATTCATGTAGGAGGATTGTCTCTTTAAACTCTCAAAAAGAGAGACGGGTGATTCTTAGCAAATAACTGATTTAACTTCTCTGTGTTGCTCTTCATAAGAATGTGTTAAACAACTAATATAGGTATCTAACATTAAGCCAATACTTGTCTGAGTATTTGTGTCAGCCAGCCATCTTTACCCCTGGGGAGTTGTTTCCAAGAACCTAATCTGTGACAAGTCTAATGAGCAGTGATATCTTCTGAGATGTCTGCCACTGAAAAACCAACTGCAATTAGGACTTCTTTTTTTTTTTTTTTTTTTAGAGAGAGGTTCCTTTTTTGCTTTCTTGCTGATTTCAAGAAGGAGTTCCTATGGGAATTTAGATGGCATTTGTTCTACCCATTAGGAAAAGAAAAATTAGGCTGTTTCCTAAAGATAATCTTGAGTTTCACTTATAATAAGCTGGAGATAGTCAACTGTGGAACTGTGCTTTTTTTCTGCGGAACATGTAATTGAATGTACCTGTCAGAATTTTCAGCCTCTCTTGAGGAAGAAGTATAGTGTGAATTTAATAGAACATTTAATAGGAAATATAACCTAGTACCTACGACATTTGATGTATTTCTTTTTAATAAGAACATAATGTACTGAGAAGATAAAGACACAGTAAATTTCTTCTAAGACATAAAGTAATGGTTACCACTAACAGAAGAAAAATAAAAGTCAAGAAGTGTGCCATTATCAAAATTTATACATATATTATGCATGAAATGCAGTGTCAAAATAATATGATAAAGGTCTCATCAAAAAGGAACACCAAAAGTTGGCTGACAGCATAAATAGCAAATAAAGACTGTATTTTAATTTTTATGCCTTAGTACACAATCTGACTTGACAAAAATTATATTTGTCCTTGCTTCCTACCATTGAGAGCTTCACGTTGCAAATTTTTGGTATTCTCTCAACAGTGTCCATGTGCCCAGCTTTAACAGAAAACCCAGAACAAATTCTGTCTTGACGTATCACACTGATACTTACCAGCATGACTGGAAACACCAGGTTTACTTCAGCATTTGAAACAACATAGTAACCGATCAAAACACTCTCCTGCAGACTAGCACTAGAAAGTAACACTACCATGCTTGATTTCTTTCCCCTATAGCTTCCTCCTACGTTCTGTTGAGACCTCATGCTTTTCTCTCTCCTTCCACATTCTTTAGTGAACGATAAAAAATCTTAATGTTTTTCATGTACATTCTTTTCTTTAGCTTATACTTTTTTTTTCCTTTCAAAAATTTCATTTATATACAGTCCCTTTAATTCATCCTCGAGCAGTGGAACTACTGTTTAGGTTTTTTTTGTTTGGTTTTTTTTTTTTGTTGTTTGTTTGTTTTTTTGTGTGTCATACAGTTTTCTAGCACATAAAAATGCTGTAATTGACGAAGTTAATCCAGTTGTTAGGACAATTGTAACACTTTTCTCATAAGGCTACTCTGGATTCTAGTAAATGTTTTTAACAGAGACGGTATTAGTGTTTCTGTTGTCTACACTCATGACATGCATAAATGTTACTCTCAGATTATTATCCTTGTCTGTGGCTGAAGTGATTCAAGAAGTTACAAAAAACATGGGGGGAAAAAAAGATGAATATGCTCACATAAGGTCTCATTTCCTTACAAAATCATCCAAATGTACTGTTAATATCAATTACCTCATCAGCTCTCATAAAAATCTTATCTAATTTCACTGAATTTTATTCCTTACAACTTTTTTAATACTTTGTTTTCTCAGTTCTGCCCCCTTGCTTTGCTCAGACTACTTAGACAGCTCCAATGATTTCTTCCTGATCATTGCTGAGGAGTGGCCTCTTGTCCTCACTTGTTCTCCACATAAGCTGCATATGGCATCACTATTTTGGGTATATTGATTTGCATTTGTAGCAATGATTTTATCTTTTCAGGTACTTTAATCTTTTGAGGCTTCCCCTGGTTTCCTACTGCTAAGGTCCTATGAGGAATCTACAATGACCTAACTTTATCCTTCTCTCTTCTTTATACTTTCGCTGAATGATCTCACACAAAACACACAATTTTAATAACTATTTCTGTAGTCAAAAACTGAAAGGTTGTCCAAGCCATCTGACATCTTATTATAGATATCTATTCATCAGCTTCAGTTCAGATGCAGACAGTTGTAAATAGGTCTGAATTTTTTGCTACCAAAACAAAGTGTCCAACTGTGGATGGTGAGCTTGGAATCATATTGTAGAGCATCCTGTGTAGACTAAGCCTGCATCTTGCAGGTGTTTTCTCACACAAACTCTCATTTTTGACCCACATAAAACTGTATTTGTGCTCTTGACAAATATAGCCTCGACTCCCTGAACACTTGTTTCAGAACACTCTGGAAGTGTTTATGTAGTACATTGCTTTGCCTTGTTGCAGCACTTCCCTGGCTTACTCTTCCCTGTTGAATCAAGGAGTGACACTTAGTCTCACTTGAGCTACAACTCCCACTTCTTACTGAGGAGTAACCTTCTGATAAGTCTATATTGCTGTTCTCTTTCACATATACAACAGATTATCCTACAAGTCCCATTGTGATTCCACCCATGCTATCTCTTTGATCTAGGATCCTCTCTAGAGTATCTTCTCTCAGTGAGTTCTCTGCGCTGGTATCTGGCAAGACCACTTTCTAGCATGGTAATTTTTATTTTCAGGTATTGTCATTCAGGTTTGCATACGATTTTGTTATCCTTTGTCATGTGACTTAGAGCTTATATTCAAGGACTGTCTTTTTGTTCTATGTTTGTATAGTACATAAAAGAATGGCCTCTCAGTTGAAGTCCAAGGTCCCGATGGCCTGACTATTACTAACAATTACCAATGGTGCTTTCTAGCAGCAGAGAAATCAAAGATGTGGGAATCTTAGGTCCTGTTCCAGACTCCAGAATGAAGTTTCTGTAATGAGCAGTGACTCACCTGTTCATTTTCCCCAGCTTCTGTCTCACTTTTCCCTTTCCGAAGAAAGATATTCTGATCATTCTGTTTCTCTTTGTCCAGAAAGTCTTGTCTTCCCAGGAAGGTCAACCAAGTCCCTTTTCCTTTACATCTATTTACCATTAAGTGAAATAGGATTCACTGAAGAAGGAAATCACGGTGAGAGGAAAAGTAAATATTGAGGAAACCTTCAGTCAGACAGTTTTTTTCCACACTTTCACCACCACACTTTTTATTACATGACCAGTTGTACTAGAGGACAATTAGTCATTAGAAGTTCTCAGAGAGACCATGAATTGAAAATAGTTAATTCATTTAATGCATACATGCACAGAAATGTTTGTTATTTATCCCAAACACTTTACTCAGTACATCCAGCCATCTTTCTCCTATCACTAGGCAAGACAAGTCTATGCTATGTGCCTCCTCTCATTCATTCTTATCAATAATAACAGCTTGTATATATCATACCCTTACACCCTATGCAGACTGATGTTGTTTAGCCACCTTTTATACTCATGGCAGATAAATATTTATTTTGAAAATTAAGTGTATTTGAGGCCATTCTGCTTTTATTACTTTGGCACAGCTTTTACTGGCACCAGGGAAAGCAAGTTTCCCAGAACCTAGTGAAGAAGTACTGGTACACTGTGAGTTAGTGCACAAGGTGACTGCTGCTGACATTCAGATAATGCATGAGAACAGACAGATGAAAACTTCTCTGTGTTCTGTTTCTGTAAGCATGCAGGGCCATAAACTGTGAAACAGAAGACCACATGAGTATTTTGTTGGTATGTAACAGGCTTGTCTTCCCTTTTCTAGAATGGATGACGCAGAAGCTTGTTTCATTCTGAGTAGCCGCTGCGAGGTGGACCGGACAGCAGCTGTAAGTTTTGAAGAAATAACTAAGGATCAATGTACTTGCTGTTTATACTGCTACTGCCCTTATTCTCTCATGGGAACTAAGACTTCTTCGGTGAACGGAAGATTAAAATAAGCTGATTTACACATTTTTGCATTTGGGATGAACTTCCTGTCTCGGTTAAGATAATGAAAAGCTTCCTATCAGATTCCATAAGGCCAAGATTTCACATATCTATATAACATAATCAAATGACTCCTTTCACATAACATATCTACTTATGCTTTTTTAGAAAATAAAATATATGACCTACCAAAGCAGTTAGGATTTTACAGCACACTTTAGTTATACATTGGACGGTTTTTGTTTGTTTGTTTGTTTTTTTAAATATAAGAAAATATAAATCCTTGCAGGACTTTTAAAAAAATAGAAAAGTACTGGAAGAATATGGTACTTTCAAAAAAGAATTTTTATGCTGAATAAAGTAAATTTTTATAAATTCTCTTCTTTTCCATTGAACAATGACAGAATACCATTTAAGGACTATCATGTTACGTTACAGATATATTGATTCTTGGTCACGGATAACTCCAGAGGGTATTACTCTGTGAAAAAGTTTTATTCAAGTTACTTGGACTAATATCAGTGCTTTACATATCCAATGTAAAGTTATATTATTAAATCAGAAAAAAAGATCAACTGGTTGGTATTTCCATTCAGAACTATTGAAGTATTGAAAGTTTACTACTAACAAAGTAAATATTGAATTCCACTTTATATATTTGTGACTAATACCAAGTAGCCAACATATTTGAGAGTATTTGACCATTTTTCATATTGGTGAATTTTAAGTATTCTAGATTCTATAAGTTACTGTGGTTTTACCTATGCCACTAGTTACTTGCAGTCAGGTAAGTTACTGTCCACAAAGGAATACTGCTAATACAAACCTCTACTCAGTGTATCTGTGATCAAGGAATACAATTATTTTAATATAAATTAGAACTCCTCAAACTAATGGCATTGCATACTGATCACAAATATTCAGGAAAAAAGTCCACCGAAGGAGGATTTATGAACACAGCTTTAAATTTGTCACCATTAGCGGCATGCTAAATTATTGAACGCTTCTCTATCCAGTTTGATTTTGAACTTCAGGGGAAGATCAAAATAAGTCTGAGTATTCACAAAATTAAATTAAGATGCTTACAAATTTCCTAACAAGATCAAACTGTTGTTTATAATTTGGTAATTATGTTTTAGAGATATCTTGATTAAAAAAATTCTGTTTTGCTGCTACATTATAAGATATAATGACTCTTTCTCAAAATGTTAAAAATAGATACAGTAAAACATGGGAAACCAAGGCTTTGCATCAAATGTCGTATTTCTTAATGTATTTGCTCTCACTTGCTACAACTACTAAATCTGCCATCAAAACTTACTTGTTTCAATATCTTCACACATGACTTATCAGAGAAGGAAGAACAACAACAACAAAAAAATCAACATAAGCTGCAGCTAGCAAGAAGGAAGGATTATTTCCTTGCTAGGCAAATGATCCCCCAGAAGGAAATTGTATCAAAAATAATCTAACTTTTTTTGTAGACTATTAGCATGCTGTACAAAGACCTGTACTGTACCCATCCCTTGCAGAAATCCGTTGAACTCCTGTAGGAAGAAATCTTGTTTTCCTACTGTATGATACTCAAACTTACTGAACTAAGAGCTTTGAACTCATATCAGTGATAGACTCCTGAAGACACACTAGTGAAAGCAACTGAACTGGCAGCAAGTAATCCTAGAGTAGTCAAGTAGTGCAAGCATACCGTTCAGAAGTGACAGAAGGGCTAGAGTATTTAAGGATAAGAACAAGCAACAGTTCTTGCAAACACCTGGGAAAATATCAGTTACATCTGTGAGGGTGAAAAATATAAAAATGCCAAACTGCCTTGCCTAAATTATCAATGAAGTTCCGAATACATCATCTACAGCATCTCATTTCACAAACATACTTGAGAGTTGTGAAATGGTTAGAAATGAGAAATCCATCCAAGCCAAGCATAGGATTTACATTGCCCTTGGTATGTTTATGCAGCTTTAAGGACAGCTTCATCCACACAGGATTCACTTAAAGGCAAGCTATTCATCTCTGCTCATAACCTCTCCAGAATTTATACAGAGAAAGGACAATTTCCAACTCTGCTGAACTCTCCTACAGCTCAGACAGTGGATTCTACATGGAGCTTCCATCCTTTCTAGCCAGACCCATCTAGTTTTGGTTTCAGAGTCGTGGCCAGGCACAGCTCTCTCCAGGCAGCCTTTGTGCCTGCAGGGACAGCATGCCCCAGGAAATACCAGAACCGTCCCTGGCACGTTTCAGCTTCCAGTACAGACTATTATCAAATCTCACTTATCATTGTATTTGCGGCTTACGAACAGACTGACTTAACAAAGCTACAATCCCATTACCTTCCTGGGGGACAGAATGTCCTGCTGGGTGACAGGCTGGCTGGCCACAGTGGCACAGTATCCCAGCTGTACCTCTGGCATGCTGATGCTTAATGTCACCTGAAATTTTCAACAAGGTGTCCCAACTCTCACTGTTTTTGTAGATGTAGCTGAGATTTCCTTTTCATGGGGAATGCAATTAGTTATGCTGCAATTAGAAATTAGGACAACAGGGTTTTGGCTTAGTTTTATTGTATTTACTGCCCCCTAGAGCTCTGGCACTTCCAGATTTGATCACTACTAAAAACTTCAGTAATGTAGTATAGAAGTTTACAGCTTTTCACTGGGCTGAAATAAGCTCAGTTGTCATCCTAGTATCAACCTTTATAACCACAACTCATTTTTCACCCTGCCACACATGAGAAGCTGACAAACTGTTAGGAGTGTCTTGGATCCTCTCCTATATCTGACAGCTGTCAAAATAAAAGTTAACAGATGCAGTGAGGAGTTCCCGACCAGAACAGCTGGTGTTGCTCATGAGTTTTCAAAGTCCTGAGGGTTTTTGATCTCCCCAGCTACAGGCCTCAGCAGAGGATCTACTAATTTGCTATGGATACCATTGGCTGTTCTTTGCTTGCTATTTCATTAGTTAGTTATTTCATTAATTTCAGTTAGTGAGTTCTAGTGTCAAGGTCTGTGTTGTTTCTGAACCATGGATCTCAACTATAGCTCAGAAGAAAAGTACAATAACAGATGACATGCAGTTGCTTCATAAAAATTGCCAGTTGCTTCCTTTTTCACTTGGAGGAGTAGGAACTTCAACAATCAGACCAGGAATCTGTCAATTTTCCAAAGTCTCCTACCAGGAACTTTCTCTTCTCTGGCAAGACAAATGTCTGCCAATGTATTCTATCAAATGCTATTTGGACATCTCAGACCAAGCTGCTTATGTGCTACAGCAAGCAGGACAGACACCTGTTTCACTTCTGCATGATGCAACTCTTAAAAGAGAGTTCAAATTGTACTTCAGTCTTGATGACAACTATTTTTAATTGGTGGGTATAGAACAGTAGCCTGTGCCACATCACAAAGCTAGCCAGTGACTTCAGTGGGCAGCCTATATCATACTGTTCCACCAAACTAAGGTGCCTCAGGACAGTGCATCTGCTGATTTAACCCAAGAAGGGGTGGGAAGAGAAGTCTCTTTGGAATTATCCTATAGATAACTCATTAGTAGGGTATATAAATATATGAAAGACCACTTCTACTGCTGACAGCTTGTCCAAGCTATGAGCTACCAGCTTCTCCAGGGAAACGGTTCAAGGGCTTTACTAAAGTCCAGGTAGACAACATCCACGTGACAAATGCTAGCCTCCAGTCCAGTGTGACCTCCCAAGTTAGCCAGGACTGCTGATACATGATGGAAGGTGGCTTGGTGAGCACTTCTTCCAGCTCTCTCAATACCCTTTGGTAGCTCCCATCCAGCCCCATAGACTTGTGTGTGTCTAAGTGGAGCAGCTGATCGCATACCACTTCACCCTGGATTATGGTGGCTTCATTCTGCTCCCTGTCCCCATCTTCTGGCTCAGGGGGCTGGGTACATGGAGAACATCTGGTCTTGCTATTGAAGGCCGAGGTGAAGAAGGTATTAAATATAATTTTCCTCATCCTTGGTCACTATGTTTCTCCCTGCATCTAGTAAAGGATTAAGATTCTCTCTAGTCCTCCTTTTGTTGTTAATGTATTTATAGAACCATTTTTCATTGTCTTTAACAACAGTAACCAAACTGAGTTCTAGTTGGGCTTTGGTCCTCCTAATTTTCTCCCTGCGTAGCTTCACTACATCCTTGTAGTCCTCATGAGTGGCCTTCCCCCTCAACCAAAGGCCATAAAACTCTCCTTTTGTCCTTGAGTTCCAGCCAAAGCTCTCTGTTCAGCCAGGGCAGTCTTCTTCGCAGCGGCTCATCTTTAGGGACATAGAGGTGGCCTGCTCCTGTGCCTTTAAGACTTCCTTCCTGAAATATGTCCAGCTTTCCTTGACTCCTTTGTCCTTCAGGATGGCCTCCCAACAGACTCTGTTATCACTTTCCTGAAGAGGCCAAAATCTGCCCTCCGAAAGTCCAGGGTGACAGTTCTGCTCACGATGGACACAGTAAACCTACATCTCTGAAACAGTTAGGAATAAAAAATGTGCAATAATGTATTTTACCATCCTCAAAAGGTCATCTTCTTAAGACTCTAGTCTGGTATTTCTAGTAGAAAAAGTACTTGCTGACATCTCAAGTGACATTAAAATATTATGGTTTGAAAATGTCAATTACACTCTGTTCCAGGCAGAGATTCTCCCTTGTGTTCATGACTCTGAAAGCTTTTCTGATTGTTGATGCTGCAGACATAATGAATCATTCTTTGTATTTTATCTTTTAGTACCTCCAATTTCATGACTAGGCATTTCAACCCAAGTATTGCTTCCTACATTCAGATCACAAATATCCTTTTTGAGTTCTGAAATTAAAAAAAAAAAAAAACAAAACAAACAAAAAAACAAACAAACAAACAAACAAAAAAACAACAAAAAAACAAAAACGTGCTGTCTGGCACAGTGAAATTAGCTGTATTTCATGAATTTCTGTATAGGAATGTATGATCACATAGTTCACTTACATGAGATAGCAGTAACCCTCCTGCAGTTAAATCACTTTTGACATGTGGTAACAAGTACAAAAACTAATGGCCTGGAAAATCTATTGGAATCCTTTGGTCAGTAGCTGGCTATGTTCTGACATCATTTATGCAAATGTTTTAGTTGCACAAAAATGTAGATTTGTTTTTAATTGAGCTGGGATTTTAAAGAATTTAAAACTCTTATTTCCTGATGCCCTCATTAACGTTACTTAAATTCTAACTCTCTTTGCAATGACATATCTAATAGATCATTCCTGATTAATTAGACGTGACTCATCACCACCATCTTAAGTTTTCACACCATTCTTCCACATCCAAATCCCACCCCTTCCAAATTATATGATCCCCAACACTTGCAGAAAGATAGAAGAGGGACGAAATACCTTACTAGGACAAGATTTGTGGAAATAAAGTCCCTATTCTGCATTTCAGCAAACAGAATATATTATACCAGGATCACAGGGTGATGGAGGTTGGAAGGAAGCTCAGGAGGTCTTTAGTCTGACAGGGATCAGTTATGCACACAGACCATATCACTCTCATCTCCTATTAAACCAGCCCAAGGTGCTGCCAGCCTGTGCTTGGCTTGACCTCTGACAGGAACCACAGGTCTTTCCCAGCAGAGCTGCTGCCCAGCCAGGCAGCACCCAGCCTGTGCCAGTGCAGGTGGTCACTCAGTTCCAGAGATAGGACTCTGCTTGTGCCCTTGCTGAATTTCATGAGGTTCTTCTCAGCCTATTCCTCCATCTTATCGTGGCCCATCTGAATGGCAGTCCTGCCCTCAAGTCTTTTGATTGCTCCCTCTACTTTTGTATCATCTGCAAGTCTGCTGAGCGTGCACTCTTTCACCTCATCCAAGCCATAGATAAAGATATGTAACAGAACAGGTTCCAGTGTAGATCCTTGAGACACTCCACTTGCCCCGGGTCCTGGGGTAGAGCAGATGTCATTTATTGTTGCCCTTGGTCTCCAATCATCTAACCAGCATTTTACCCATACAGTTTTTCATTTATCCAGACTGTAATGTCTGAACATGGAAATTCATGCGCCCAGAGGTACAGCTCCCCAGATCATCCTTTGGTTTGAAGATGGGTGAAACTATTAATTTTTCTGCAATTGCTGAAGACCTCCCCAGTCTCCACAACCACTCAAATATAAGAAAGTAACTGTACAAGGACATGGGCTTGCTCTCTCTTCACCCAGCAGAACCTTTGGCCTCATAGGGGTTGAGTTCTCTGAAGCACTTCTTGTCTGAGATCATCCACTGCTGGTGATTCTCCTGCTTGACGTCTGCCTCAAATCAGAAGCCTGATAGACCTTGGTGAAGATTGAGAGTGCCTCACCCTTGTCTGTGTCTACAGAATGACTGTTTTGTCTGTGTCTGTGTATATATATTATTTTAAAATACATAATATACCTCATATGTAATATTAATTACATAACATATACTTCAACATCCATACCAGCTGGTATTATACAGTATTAAAATGATTTTTTTTCAATTAAGTCAGATTGATAAGAGGTTCTTTTTCTAATGTCATATTTTATTCTCATCACCTCATACTCTATTCTAGGATCATCAGACCATTTTAAGAGCATGGGCAGTTAAAGATTTTGCTCCAAATTGTCCTTTGTATGTCCAAATACTGAAACCTGAGAATAAATTCCACATCAAGTTTGCAGGTAAGTGTAAGATTTCAGCCATCTAAAACACTGGTTAGTATTTGGCAGTTTGTTTCATACACAAAAGCAAGGTGAGATTCCCCAGGCATATTTATTGGTGGCTAGAAGCAGATTTAGAGCAAAGTACTGTAAAATAACATGGGCTGTATACATCTTATCAATAGTAATATGTCATGGTTTACATTAAAGTCTTAGTTATAAGAACTTTCAAGGATTATTATTCTTTTATGTTACATAATATACAGAGTAGAATTATTTGATATATAACACATTGTTACTTCTTAATTATAGGTCCTAGTAGGTTTCCAGCATGCTATATCAATATCTCTAAATAATTTCTTTCTACTAAAACATACTGATACTAAGGGTTATATGAGATGATCTGACCAGAAGAGGCCAAATTTTATCCAACAAGCAAGCAACTGCAAAAACCAACCTTCCTGTTGCCTTGTTGTTTTCTTCTTTTAAGTGATACGAAAAACATTATTTTAACTGCTTTCAAATATTTTGGAAAGAGACATATAATTCTATATTCAGTAAAATGCATGCCTTAGAAACTATGACATAAAATGCAAAATGATGTCAAGAAATCCAAACAAATCCTCTCTTATAAGAACAGATTACCAGTTTTACTTCGACAAACTCTCTCTCTACACTGTGTAGGTAGGTCTCTCTCTCAATGCACACATACATACATATGTACACAGAGACATCGACATGCTTATGTGCAAAAACATGCCAATGCTTTTATAATGAACTCATTTTGCCTATCTTTGGAAAAATATCTCTATCAAGTAGAGGCAAAGCTTTCCTTTTCAACTGTAATTTTGAAAATTCAATTTTCCTGAAGAGTGTTCTAAGGAAGAAAAGATTGCTGATTCATACAAAATAAAAATAAAACTATGGAAAAATACTACTCATCCCCATCATGCCAGAATGCAATGAAGAAGTAAATTCCAGTACAGAACAATTCCAGGGCAACTGTTAAAGCTGTAATTTTAAAAGCTACTGAATTTACTGCTAGGTTAGAAAGTAAGAAAGCATCAATAACAGTTCAGAAGTTATAAAAGTGCAATCTCAAACTGTAAGATGGCACAGCAGGGAATAAGACTCATGCTGTGACAAGAATGATGGTGCTTTTTCATCTCCCATTAAAGCCACACAGCACAAACATGAGCTCTTCTCCCTAGCCATGGCCACTTTTCTTTATCAGTAACTGTATTAATTTGTTGTTCCTAATTGCATTTTTAAGAGAGTTTCATTATTCTTAATGGCTTGTCTCTGTGTGAACTTAACTAGGCTTGCAAAACAGAGGTAATTTTTCATACCTGCTCTTAAATTTCAGATTGAGAGTTTGGACACCTTTTGTTTTTAAAAAAGTAAACAACAACAACAAAACCCTTTTTGTAGTATTTTCTTCAGCTGAGATTAATCCATCTGGTATCCTACTGCCGTCATTTATGTTCTCTAATATTAATTATAGTAATACTGTATTGTAAGTCTAAATGTTTACATAGCACCTGACTTCCCAATAGAATTTCACATGGCTTATGGGGATCTCTGCATCCATTTCCACACATTCTCTCTGCACAGTAGTAAAGGCAGAGAATTACAAACCTCCCTTCAAGATTAGTTTAATCTTGGACATATAAAGCACAGGAAATTTTTAATGCAGTTTTAAATTCAAAAAGGTTATGAACATGATATAAATATCACCACTGGATGCTTACCTACTGCAAAGGATTAGGCCACTGTTAGAGTCATGAGAACAACATTTGTTTGCATACATTTTCCTAAGAGGACTCTAATATGGTTATTAATCTCATCCAACTCTTCTTCATTCTGAAATACCTACCCCAGTGGGGGCTGCAAATGATAGCCCTGTCTGGAGTGCTTACAAATAGAATTCATCATAACCATATGGAACATTTTTTTAAGTGCTTTTCCTATTATGGTTCAGCATCGCTTTATTACTGCCTTAATGCAAAACCTTCTTTTAAATTTGATAGCCCTTTAAAAAATTACTCCTTTCTTCTACAGGTTTCCCAAAACAGTATTGTGCATCTTTATGAACCTGAAATATTCAGTAATAAGATTATTTTGTTTTTCCTTTACACACAGGCTTAGGGACTATAACAGTCAAAAAGAAAGTTTCTGAATTTAGAAAAAAATACAATTAAAGAGTTTCAGAAAGTTCTCCTAAGAAAAGTGTCACTTTTAACTGCACTGTAAATGTATAAAACACTATAATCCAAATTTTACAGCAGCTTATATTAGGTTGACCAGTTGTCCTAGATTGCACGAGACAGTTCTAAGACTTAGACCCTGACTGCATTTTCCCATAGAAGAGCATCCTGGAAATTTTTCTGTCTTAGGCTTCAGAAACAGTGTAAAGGACGATTATAGGCAAAACTTCTACATTCTTCCTCTCTTTAATGAGAGTACAAGAACTTCTTATTCTTGTCATCACTGCAAGAGAATGGAAACCCTTTGCACAGGGAGGCAGCTTTCCTGCTGCTGACCTGTTGCCAGCCACACGTCCTTGCATCCTGCGCTTTCTCTGTTATTTTTTTTTACAGTGGAGTTTAACTACTTTGTTTAAAATGGTAACCTACACTTATATTAATATTGTGGAAATATTTCTCTGTGTTTAAATATGATTCTGCAGTGGAATCTGAAAAGTACAAGGCGTGTTTGTCCCAGCAAACTCCTTTGCCAGTTCAAAGTATGAACACTATAAATGAACAGTCATTTTTATATGACACTTGTCAGGTGGGCAAGGAAGCACTGTATCACCATTGCTAACCACCTTGTCTTAAGCTGAAATGCTTTTATTACTCCTTAGTAATCTCCAAGGTACAACTGCTTGACATGCCCAGTTTTTCTTTCACTAATACTGCATTTTCCTTCACTGGCAATTACATATGGTTTTCTTAATCTTCCTGTTTTTCCAGCACATGGGGCTGCAAAAGGCTATGTACCCTTAATGCATGCATCTGGCCTTGCATTTCAGCACAAACATGAAATAAAATGAAGATTGTCCACAGCAGAGCAATAAATTTATGCAATTCAGAAGCTGGAGCAAATTCCATATTTTCTGAGTTGAATTTAATAGCTTTTATATATTTACTAGAAAAGAAATTAAATTGTTTTACCTTGAACCGTCAGAAATTATGTATAATCACAGTTCTGGGAACTGGGGATACATTTTGGCATTTTCTATTTATTCAAAATGCACCAATGAATTAGCACAGATTGGTAAGGTCTGACATTAAACCTGCAGTAGTTTGTCTGAAAGGAACATGGTTGAGATTCACCAAAATGGATATTGGATGCATCTGATGATTAATCTATCCAATTACAGATAAAAATAGCCTAGAGATAATGGATGGGCATTTTTCTCTGTCAGGTCTGGAAATGATCATGTTAACACACTGAAAACAGTAAGGTTTCTCAGAACAATTGTGTCAGGTCCTGGACATTCTAGGACACATGGCTGATGCTGCAGGCATAAAGTAATATTCTGAGTATGTCTAATCCTCAGGAACACTGCAGAAGTCATAACTCACTGCACTGCATTACTGTATCTGTTTGAGGCAGACCTAGAAACAAATTTTCTGTCAAAATATATTTTCAGCAGAAACTACAGCTTCTGGGAATTCTAAAAGGAGCATTTCTTTAGTATAAATACAATCAAAATACTTCTGTTTGGTAAACTGATTTGACATATTTAATATTCAGCTTAAGATAAACTGCAGTTTCCTCTGCTTGCTTCACTGCCACTCACCACAGCTCTACAATAAGAGTCATGAACATAAATACAAAACACACTAACCTTATAGGCAAGCTATAACCTATCAAATAATTGGAGAAACAGGCAGTTTATTTTTGTGTCCAATACAAGAACTTACCTCCAGCCAAGAAGAGAAACCCGTAGGATCTCTCCTCCTGTTTCTGATGGCTACAATATTTCTAAGCAGGGTAATCAGAGCACTAGAGAATCTTTCACCTAGCATACTCAAAGTACTCCTGAGAATTCAAAAGCTTCAAAACGCTTCTGAAGTATGTAGGGTATTATTTTCACATACCCATTTTACAGATGAAGAAAAAGTCATGAACGGCATAACTAGCTCACACAAGTCTGCACTGGAGCGAGAGTAGTCCTGTCAGTCCCAGCTCCATGGCTCCTTCTGTAGGAAACACGTGACAACACAAAGTGAACCTCTTACACGTATGAGATTAGGGTGACTGTTGTAGGACAGCAGTCTGTTTGCCGTGTGCTATATTTGGCAGCATTTTACATAAAATGCAGCCAAAAAGTCCACCATATATACTTTAAGGAGCGTAGAAGATACAGAACATTTAATTTGAGGCGTACTTTTCATTTGCATTGTACCAGCCATGATTTTTTCATTTCAATTTATACATATTTATGTCAGCATGTAAAATTTGTTTCAAGATTGCGCAAGATCTGAAATAACAGATGACAAAATGATTTTCCAGTATATTTTTCTTGCTTCTATTTTCAGAAGTATTAGGATAATATAACAACTTTCCAAACAAAACAAAACAAAACAAAACAAAACAAAACAAAACAAAAAGACGGGGAAGGTTGTTTGGCAAAATCTGATACAAATTCAGAAACATGGAGAGTTCTCATTCCTTCAATACTAGGGAGTCAATATTCAATTTCATTAATCTTTGCCACTTGATTAATGGTACTGGAATGCAGATACTCTAACCAAGCCTTAATCTCTCAAAATCTCTACACATGATTAACTAAAACCATATTTCTGTCTGCAATATTTTTTTCAGGGAATTTTTAATTGCTATACCTGAAATACATTTAGGGGAGGGAAAAAAAAAATCTCTTTTTGTTCTATATTTGACAGTGTCTTATATAACTTCATTCATTCATTCCCTACAATGTTTAAACAGGCCTTGATCATCAGAAAATGAGAGAATTAATTTCTCCTTTCAGGAGTCAACAGTTCTGTTACTGAAAAGCCTATAGAAACTTTTTCAAAAGGAATAGAGAAGGCATGCAAAGTACACCCTCACTTTTGTTTTCAGTAAGTGGCATGCTTATAGCTATACCATAAATTCTATCTTGAAAATAGCTTAGAAAGCTAAGGTGGCTCTGAGGATTTCAGTGATGCATTTAGTGCAACTAGAAGTAGAGTATATAGACAAATAGATCTAGGTGAGGAGATTATTTGCTTACTTTTACTCAGTAATTTTCTTATGGCATACGTTTTGACCATCAGCTGTACTCCTTATATTATTATTCCTCATCAGAAACAATTCTGCTCACATTGCAAGTAACGTACACTGAATCAAACACTAAATTCAGAAGAAAAAAAAATGATTTAACATGCAATGCCTCCATGACTTTAGAAAACCTTTTTGATTTTAAGTTTAATTAAGTTCTAAGTTTTGTGCTTACCTCTTCTGATATCTATTTTAATGCTGTCAGGTATATGTGAATGACACTAGAGTAATTTCTAGTTCCTTTTCATGTCATCACCAATACTGGATAGCATTTAACTACGATCTCCATTTTAAGAAATCATCATCCATGTTGAATAATAATTCATAAAATAGTGAAAGTATGTGCAGGAGATTTGGCAGTTATTAGTATAAGCCAATATAGAGGACTAGGTATAATATCTCTGTTGCTTTCTCTTCTCACTTCCCCTCTCCTAAATTCCATTAAAAACCAGAAAAAAACATAGGTATGTCATTAGTACTGTTCCATCACAGCAAGTACTAATTTGCAGGCATACTTTCTTGTAAGGACTCTCAAAAACAAAGCACAATTTGTGATTACAAAAGCCAGACAAGGACAGAGGTGAAAAGAATGCCAAGTTGTAAAAAAATTGGAAGAGAAAAAACAAGCAGCCTGTTACCTAGATTGTAAGGAGCAAGCAGCTGGTAGCAGTTCCTGGGAGAGATATTAGTCAAATCTACATCACACACCGAAGAGCCCCAGCCAAACAACCAGTCTGCAAGCCAGTACAGTCTATCTAATCCATCAGCACTGCTGCATTGCAATATCCTACATATGCTATTTCCTGAACACAAAATTGGATCTGTACAATGCTTGATGTCTCTATGCCAGACTACTCAAAACTGCAGGAGGTGCAGAAGATACAAACTTGATTATGCTACCTGGCTTACTTGTATGGCTTACACTTACTAGTGTGGCGAGGTAGTAGGAGTGAGATTCACAGAGCCATTGCGTCCTCTCCTTGTGTATCTGCAGGACAGAAGGTATGAACTGGATGCAAAATTAACACTACCCATGCAATCAGAGTTAGCATCGATACGGCAAATCATACACAGCTCTCTCCAGGCTCAAAAGGAAGATGGAGGTCTGGAGGCAAATACTGATTGTCCCTATCTTCACCATTTTCCTACCTAGACAAGGAAAGGAAGTTACAATTCTGCTCAGGGGGAAGTATTTTTGTAAAACGATTTATATCTTCTTCTTTTCTACAGATCATGTGGTGTGTGAAGAGGAATTCAAATATGCTATGCTAGCTCTAAACTGTATATGCCCAGCTACCTCTACATTAATCACACTGCTGGTTCATACCTCTAGGGGACAGTAAGTTTATACTACCATAAAAAAATAACAACTACCTTGTAAAAGTTGTAGCTGGTATTCTTTGGAAAATAGCTTACCCTGAACTCCCAGTCAACTACAGTTTTTAAAAAGAAATTAGAACTTTCTGCAGAATAAAAGTGGCAAGATATTTTACTAAAGATATAATTTCAGAGAAACATACCCCCAAAACATTTAACAATTTGCTGCATGCTGTTGTATCACTTCTACAGTAGAAGATATGAAAAATTTGTATTGCAAATTTATTAGATTGAATCATGGATCACACAGTTCTACTTAATAACACCAAGACCTATGAATACTGATTTCAATATATTAATCTGAAGGTCTAGTTTTGTACACATCTAAAAGTTGTACTAAAAAAATGTTTGTTTTTTTTTCTGATAACATGTGAAATATTATTTGCTATTCAGTGCCAGGAGACAAGCAAACACACGTACGGAGAGATGGTTTTTAACAATAACCATGCTGCCGGAAGGGGTACAGAATTACGGTGTCTCTACAGACTGCAGAGTCACAATAAAACCTCTCTGTATTTACCAAAATAATTTTACCACATCTAGGATATCTCCATTATACATATTCTCAGAATAATAAGGTATTCTTATTAAAATGTTGTGGGCAGAGAGAGGCATTAAAGACTAAATCTTCAAATATGTCTGTAGAAATGGAATGTGTGTGTATGGACTGAGCAAGAATACATCTGAGAGTCCAGTAAAAGTGTATGCTTCTTTCCAAGTAACCATGGACCCAGTGACATCCTGATGTTTACGAGCAGGGTTATTTAACCTTCTATATGGCATTTGTAGTATTCCCCTGTGCCTGGGAAGGGAAAAGTGAAATTACTGCCAGAAATTTTACTACTAAGAACAACAAATGTCAAGATTTTAATGGCACTGTCTGTACTAGAATCTGTTAATATGAAGACAAAAAATACTGTTTCTGTGCCTCCTGGGAGTCGTGGTGAAATGCATTCTTCATCTGCCTAGCTTTCATTACCTGACATGCACAGAGTACAGAACCCTTTTTAGCTGTTTTGTATTATATGCATGTGAAAGGAGAGTACCATTCTTAACAGCTAGCAGAGTGTTTTCCATCAGCTTTATCAACTATACACGCATTGATATCCAAACTAAATATTAAATTAGCTCTAAATGGAAGTCTATTTAACAAATACTCTTAATGTTAGCAGTGAACTGCTTTCGTTCACTTTGGCTATTGTTTAATTATCCTTTTGTTACCTGGTTACAACCAGGACCTGCATTAAACTTCATGTAGGACCTGGGTTTTAAATCCTGATCAGTATTGTCTTCCTTACATAAAAAGAACAGACTTGGATTATGGGGATATTGCAATGAATCCAATCTTGGATAGTCTCTCTAAAGTTTATTCAAAGTCACTGGGAAGATTTTCGTAATAATTCATTCAGGTTTCTATTCACAGAAGCCCCATATATGTTGATTCACAAGTTTAGTGACTTCAATGTAGTGACTGGGAATATTTGTTCAAGTTGTTATCACAGATAACCAAGTTCAGATCATTACCTATGCCTTACCTTTCCACCAAGATTAGCACTTATTTTTACACAGTGTTTTAGGTGCATGTCGCCAGAGGAGATGATCAAGGAAATGACCAGACCATTTCTTGCTTTTTGTCATTTCCCTGGTCAAAAGTCATTCATTAAGGGAAAATATGACCATTTTCACGTTCTGTCTTCTTAACATTTGTTAATTTAGTCAAGTTATGTTCTTAACCTGAGTGACTTGCATTTTAATAATGGAACAAAACAGTTAATTGACAGTCTATAGGTAAAACATTGTCCTGACTGTTCATTGTACTCTTATCGTAGGAAATCTATTTGCTGTTATTAAGAGATAATGTGACACTTTCAATAGTACAAGCTCATTTCTGATAATCATGAAGATAAGTGCACGGGAAAATTACTGAAGGCAATATCTAGCAGCAGAAAACAGGAAAAAATATTCTCTATTGTTCTTATTAGAATGATAATAGAATAAACAGTTAAAAAAATGTCTACATAAATTAAAGCTACCTATCTTCTGGTATTAATATGTGAGGAGACTGGGGAAAGTGTTTTCTAAGCAACTTTGAACAGATCAATTTGCTGTTGATATTAAGGGGAATTTCTTTGCTGTTTATGTGAACTGACTTTGGTCTTTAATGCTATTTGTCACATTAAACAAACTAGATGTAAATAATCCCATTGTCTATTCAGCTTTGTATGGAATTCAAAACCTCAGTCTGTAAGACATCAAAATTCTACCCTGAATCTTTTTCATAATCTTATTATTGATCTTAATTATTATTCTTAAAATTTACTTTTAAGTGTTATCTACTTATCTAATCTGGTAATAGAAGTTTATTAGGGTTTGTATTATGTTACAAAATATTAGAAGAGAATAGCCTTTCTGACTTGAACTTAATGTCATCTTTACAGAACAGCCCCATGGGAAGCTTTTAGACAACTAACTGGAACCAAGCAGACTTTAAACAGGTGAATATTTTATTTTAGTGGGAAAAAGTACCTATGGCAAAGTTTTCTTCTGTGATTACATTTCCAACTCTGCTGTTCTACAGTTAGTGTGCTGTTTGTTAGTGCTGTTGCAATAAAAAAAAATGGTTTTGTTATTACCAGCTTGAAACAAATTTTTTTCTGTGCTAAGGGTGGAGAAAAATGGTAAATTGAATTTAAAAAAAAAGAAATTGTGTTAAGATACTGAAAATGTATAAATGATCACAAAGGAGCACATCCCAATATCCTAAGAACTTAGTCCAAGTATCAAAAAGTAGGACATAAAACTTGACAAATTTGCTCTATCTATGTATATATGTGTGTGTATATATATATGCATCCACTGTATCCAGTAAAAGTCCTGCAGACAGAACCTTGTTTCCACGTGAAACTTGATAAAGTAAGAAGTTCACAAAACGCTCAAGTCTGCAAATTTTAATGTTAGCTGAGTTATGGAACATTTCCACTAAAAGTTCACTTGGATAAGAACATTATCTGCATATAGTAAAGAATTATTTGCTTAGTATCATTAAAGTAAGAATTACTTTTATTTCCTTGAGAAAAGAAGGTATATATTTGTCACAGTATACAAGGCATAGTGACTAAAAATGTCCATAGGGTTAATGCTGAAGATAACTGATAAGCAAATGCAGAAAAAAAAGAAAGAAAAAAAAATCTTTCTTGCACATAAAGTGACCAAAGCTAAATGGGTCTTTCCTACATAATTTGTTTTTAACGATTCTTTACCTACTTCAAACAGGAACCAATCTGCCATGGAGCATCTGAAGAGACTGCCTTGCAATGATCTACTTGTTATACTGGGAATTTAAAGTAATTCAGCTGTATCTCTCCTGATATTACATTATTTTACATGCCTATTACTTACTAGAAAATGCTCTTTAATTCATTAAAGAAATCTCTGTACTTACAGTATTACTAAGCTTTGATCTCAAATACTTCTTTCAGATTAGCTATGGGATTTTTCTAAAATACATTTGTAGTTTCTGCTGTTGTGAAATACTATTCTGATTAATAAGAATTTTACATTGTGTTAAATTATTCTCTTTATCTGTACATATTTCAGGGACAGTCAGCAATCACCAGAACAATGGCAGAAAATGTATGGCAGATGCTCTGGTAATGAAGTGTATCATATTAACCTGGAAGAAAGTACTTTTTTTGCAGAGTATGAGGGGAAAAGCTTCACATACGCTTCTTTTCATGCGCATAAAAAGTATGTTTATTTTCCTATCACTAATTAAAAGTTCAAACATAACAATTAATTGCTTTGCTTGCCGTGTAGCTCTGCATTCAAAGGTGCAGTATTAGACATTACTCTGTTCCTGGGATTAAATATCTGACCACTAATAATACTGCATGGATATTTGTCTGGAAGTTACACCTGGTCAGGTAAAAGCTCATGTCAGTTCTGTATAGGCCAGCTCAGTCTGAGGGAAGAGAATATATAGGACGAGCCTGACTACCAGAAAAAAACCTTGTAGCTTAGAGGTTATATGAGGACACCAGTCTCTTCCCATATCCAAAACAACATAGAAAAGGGTGGGTGGGAGGGTGTTAGTGCATTTTTAAAATTTGTTTAGGAGTCAGCTGGAAAACTGGCTTCATTAATGCCATGTTCAGTTTATGCAAAATGTTCAGTTTAAGGGTGGTACCTGCTACATTTTGGTTGTTATTCAAAATAAAACCATATATTTTCTGTTAGATGCTAACATATCTTCTGTAGGCTCTGGGTCATGCAGCACTTTTTCAGTACTGCTCTGTGAGGTGAACATACAAACTGAACATGAATCATGTATGTTTGTATATACAAAAAAAATGAACATATATCAAAACCTGAACACTGAATTTATTCTCATACTTAATAAGTGAGAGAAAGATTTTTTTGCCTTTAATTCTTTATTTTCTGTCACTAATCAAATAGATTTCTAGGAGCGAATCACAAAACCGAATTCTGAAAATGCTTTCCATTACGTATGAATAATGGAACAATTTAACATGATTAATACCTTTTCATGTTATATATCCATTCTTCTACTAATAGATTCCCAGAAGGGACTATTCATCTCATAGAAACAAATCAACTGGAACAGCATTAGAAGAATATTATGGGATTAAGAAAACCATTGGATTCAAATGCTTAGGGATTCATGAGCTCATAAAAACTACTTGGTCAGAAGTGGCCTATTTAGGATATAACTTTTTTCAAACATATTTGTCATTCAAAAATCTGCAATTGTTCATAATCTGCAAACCATAAAAATATTCCGGAGGTTCATTTATGTCAGTGGAAATTCTGGTATATACAGGACTATGCAAAATGAACCATGCCTTTCCTTTTCTAATTAAGGTTTGGAGTCTGTCTGATTGGTGTTAGAAAGGAAGATAACAAAAACATTTTGCTGAATCCAGGTCCTCGATATATCATGAGTTCTACAGATATATGCTTTTATATAAATATCACCAAAGAAGAGAATTCTGCTTTTAAGAAGCAAGAAAAGCTAAGAAAAAAACATGAATCAAAATTATCTTATCATGGAGCTTCTAGGTTACCTGTACACAGTATAATAGCAAGCATGGGTAAGTAAAAAAAAAAAAAAAAAAAAAGAAGTGCTTTGCAACATATTCTATTTCAATGAACACAGCATTTTAAGTCTTTTAGCAGTGTATTCCTAAAATTATCATTTAAATTATGAAATACAATGCGACTGTAAAGAAAGGAAAAAATGTTAAACTCTTGGCCTTATATTTAAAAAAAACCCAAAACAACAAAACAAAGAGCCAACCAATGGAATTCATTTATGTTATTATTTTACTTGACAATATGGGATTAAATCGTTTAGGACTTTCATATAAAAAGTAATAGTAAAATCCCATAGTAATAGAAAATCCCATGGGGATATCATCACTCATAACTGGTTGGTTGTAATAATTTTTTGTAAGCTTGTTTAAATAAAAAGTTGCCCATTCTCATTGAAAGCCTACAGGTTGCTAATATATATAAATATGCGTTATGTGAAGTATGATGAAGTTAAAAATATTACTGGTCAGGAAAAGTTGTTTTGCAGGAAAAGGCTTCCTCAGCTATCGTTTAAATGTTTGTTATGTTTTAATGCAGTAAACACAGTCGACGTGGTTAGTATTCCTTTCAGACTTTGTCCTTATAGTCAGGTAATCCTCATGAAATATGGGGATCTTTTTTCCAGTGGTTTGACCACCACTGAGAAAGGCTTTCAACGCTGCTGCAGGGACCGTGGCAATCGATCTACAGGACGCCGGCTGCCGGGCGTCCAGCGGCCCGACGCTGGCTCTGCCCTGCCAGGGCGGTGGAGAGGGCAGGCGGCCCAGCATAGCCCCCGTTCTGGAGGTGGCAGACTCCTCCTCACTCCAGACCTCTGATCTGCTGAGTGACCAGTCCGAAGACGAAGCTACCCCCTCAGATGATGAAGTCTCTGCAGGCTTAGAGTACGTGCCTTAAACATAAAATAAATGACATAATTTGAAAAGCTAATATTATGTAAACAGCTTGGATAATTTTTTGCATGCAGATCAATCCAAGTGATTCTAACAAGCAAGACCCCTAAAGGCCAATTATGGAATTGTTCTCTTTTGCGAAATGCTGTCGTCTGTTAGCAAGAATGCTGCTATGCCTATTTTGAGATGAAAAAATAAAAGCAGATTAATATCTCCATTTGCTGGAGATTTTCCATACTCAGTTATAAAGGTCTGGATGTATATTACAATTTTTTAACAGCATTTTTATCACCCTTTTCCTTACATTCCCTAGTTACAAGGACAGGACTCAGCTAATTTGTAAACAGATAAATACTTCTGTCCCGAGAATGCAGTGATGATGAGATCATTTAATAGGCCTGTTGAATGCTTGAGGCTAGGTGTCTGACTTCAAAATCTAAGAATGACGAAAAAAAAAAAAGCAGTATGAGGCAAAATTATTACAGCTAATTTAAAATGCTTGTTAGCATGTTACTGAAAGTAATGATGCATTACTTAGATAAAAAGAGAAGATTCAATCCTGTAACTGCTGTGCAGATGATCAGTTATGTTTATTGGGAGTACTGACAGGGTTGTTAAAACTAAAGTACACAATTAAGCCAGTGGCTCACCTAGCACAGTTTTCCATCTCCAACAGTGGCGAGCATGAGAAACCCCAGGGAAGATCATAAAGCCCCAATGAAAAAAGTAATAGAACAAGCCATCTTAAATCTACAGATTGAAATACAAGGATTTAAAAGGCCTCTTATTAGAAACTAAGGCAAATTAGAAAATTTATCTCATCAGTAAGAGGATTTGCCATTTAAAATTTATTCTAACCATGTTGAAAATATGCCACTAAAACAAGACGATAATGACCTCATTTTTTCTTGATAAGTGCTGGAAAAAAATAGAGAAGGAAGACCAGGGTTACCACAATTATTTCCATTTTTTTCCTTCCTTGGAATTTTCCACTATCTGCATTCAAAACACTAGGACAGCACACTATGATGCATCAGCCCATTTCTAAAGATGTCTATAAAAAAACCCCACAAAGTAAAATCCCTTTAATCTACAAAACCATGATAGCTTTCGTTAAACTGTATTGAACTGATCAAAGCAAAAAAAAAAACAAACCATTCCTTTAATCCTTATTAAACGTAGTTCATTTCATGTACTTGACTTGGCTAGCCTACAGATAACTTCAAAACTTCGACACAGGTATCAACATCCCATAAAACTGTATAGTCAATTGTGTTTCAGTAATTTGCTATACTGAAAACTGTTCTATTCTCCTAGGTATGCCAAAGGCTATCCTCCTTATTCTCCATATATTGGAAGCTCTCCCACATTTTGTCATCTTCTGCATGAAAAAGTACCCTTCTGTTGTCTAAGACTAGACAAGGTAAAGGGAGTTTCTGTTACAGGATAAAACTGCATTCTCATTTGTCTCTTGCATCTGAACACAGTTAAATCCTGATTTCTGCTCTGGAGATGAGCTTTGATCAGCACTTACTAAATGATAATATGTTTTCGCAGCCTTTTTATCACCAAGCATTTGTTTATGTCTAGTCATGTTTATCAGATCATCTGAAACAATTTCTTATTTCTCATGCTAAGACCCTTTAATGGCAAAACTAAATATCTTTATTCATATTCACAGAATTATTTTTTTTTAATTTTTATTTTAGGGATGCCAACATAACTACTATGAAGATGCAAAAGCCTATGGATTCAAAAATAAACTGATTATAGTTGCAGCAGAAACTGCTGGAAATGGCTTATATAACTTTATTGTTCCACTCAGAGCTTATTACCGACCAAAGAAAGAACTAAATCCCATTGTATTACTCCTAGATAACCCGTAAGTAGATTTTTATGTGTGTGTGAGATACATTTTAAAGTCATTTTGCCATTACTTCAATAGATGATCACTCTTCACTTGGCCAACTTAAAATCAAAAAAATTATGGCACATTTATCTTTGAGAAAAGTTGGTGACAAAAATAATAGCCTACGTTCACCGTGACATACAAAATTGACTTTTTACTAACTGTAAATGCCAATAGAGAGTTTATGTATCCTTATTCTACATGGCCAATGTTTCAGCTAAGTATTTCTTAAAAATATTCAAAATAACATAAATTTTACTGCTAAAATTAAATAACTCCATAAACACTGTAAAAAGCAACTGTGTAACAGTTTCACAGCAACATGACAACAGTTCAGACAACACTAACCTACTTTACACAAAGCACTTAGTGGCCTGGACCAGTTCGGTATATTTTTAATAATTTTAGACTCTAAAATAAACAGTTCGCTAAACTAGTAGGACACCCACCCACCCACACTTTGTCCACAATTTATATAAAGTCATGGAAGAACGTTAAAATCTGCAGTGTTGTTACAATCTGCCTGGAGCTCGCTGGAATTCTCATCTTTTCTTACATGAACTGTTTAAAATTTCAGGCAAATTCTTCTCTGGCAAGAGTGATTCACTTATAATCTGACAATGAATGAGACCTTTTGGTTTTTTTTTTGCAACACTTTGGTACTGCTTCAGTACGTAAAAATCACAGCTTAGAAGACAAAAAAATGGAGGTTAGCTGTGGAGAAAAGTAGATCAAACTATGATTCAAAGAAACGACAGCAGCAGAAATCTCTTATAGGTTCTGATACCAGGCTGACCCTTCTCTTTGCAGATATATATTCTAGTTTTTTGGAAGCTTTTTTATGTACATATTATGGCATAAAGTGGTTTACACAGATTTGTAAAAGCCTAACAGGCTAAGGGACTGCTGTGATTTTAAGATTAAAGCTGTGAGCATATAGTGCCCTCTGGTGCTTGTTCTCTTTTTCAGCACAGTGCCTGAGTTCATATACTTAAATGCTGTTATGATGTTTACAGCTTTTTATTGCACTTATTATCATAAAATAAAAACTATAGTTGCTAATTAAACTAATCCTCTTAGTGTTGTCTCTATGTACACACCGTTTGCAGCGACTCCTCTGAAAGACCAGCATTCACAGGAGTACAGAATATAGCTGAAAAGCCAGAATGCTTTTCACACGTGCATGAAGTGGAATTCAGGCTGCCATTCAAGTAAATTAGAATTTACTTCATTTGACTTAGGAATTCAGCCACCTTCGAGGAATGTATCTATGTTCCTACATATGGGAATGTTGCTACATTCCCATTTTCTCTATTTATCAAGGCAATTTATAACAATATGCTTATTATGATATCTACACATCACAGGAGTATTAAGATTTCCAGTGTTTGTTTCTTGATATGCAAGTTTTATGTAAAATTTTAAAAATTAAGTAAATGATTAAAGAAACAATGTAATAAAATACACTATCTTAGTTTTCACATTTGATTTTAAAAATAAAGTTTCATCTAAAATTGTATTGACTTGAATGGAGCTGTTGTCACAAAAACCAAGTGATGGTTTGGTTTCCACTTCATATTTTAACTGAAGATTCTTACTGCTTATTTTAAGTAGTCCTAAATCATGCATTGGAGTGTAACTTGGTAGTGTGTCTTTCACATCAGTCCTTCATTCTTATATTTGGAATAATGCTGTGCCATAAAATTTCTGATTTAAGAAGTGCAATAATTCTGATCATTCTTTATGATCACAGCAAACTGTTGATTCACAGCTTTCTGCAAACCTATTTCCTGTTTAAAGTCATATTATACCACCAAAGTTTTAAAAAGTTTGTTTTTATTTTTTTTTTTAAAAAAAAGCTATCAGTTTGTTTAAGTACTTTAGAAGAGATGCTGCTGTTGTGATATTGTGTTTCATTTTGTAATCCCATCTGCTGCTTAGGCCAGATATGCATTTTCTGGATGCAATCTGTTGGTTTCCAATGGTTTACTACATGGTGGGCTCTATCGACAAGTAGGTGAAACAACTGTTAGAAAACTTACCACTGTAGTGCTGGTTTGTTGTGTGTATCGTCATTGCATGTTTGTGTTGTATTTGAAGATACTCTTTTTGCATGCATGGTTCGTGTCCGTGTGCTATAATTTGGGATTTCAAATTTCTGATTTATAAAAGATATAATTAGTGAAAACTATGATACAGAACACAGGTTAATATCTTCAAAAATGTCAGATTAACACATATTTAGCTGCATCAATATGTTTCTACAAGTTGCCAGATTATAGCCCTGATTGTAGTGTCATTCTGTACTTAGTTATAATTTGTTTGGATTTTCTGAGCAGGGGTTTGTAAAAGTAGCTATAAAAGAGTACTAATACTGACAGTACTGAATGTCTCCAACAGTCTTCAACTGCCACTACTTTCAGTATCACCCACTCTACATTTCTGTCTTCACCTCTTCATTTTAGTAAACTCCTGTGTGTAGAGTATGAAATTAAGCAGAAACGAAATTTGCTTCACTACATAACTAATTTTGAATTGGGGCTACAAGCCCATAATATTCATTCCCTCAGTAAAAATAATTAATAAAAACTCAAAACCCAACAACTTATTTCCTGCCCTGAATTAACAGAATTGAGTTTTTCAATGAGAATTCTGGAGTCTCAGCATTTCTCCATGTCAACCTGCTGTAGCAAGGGCTTTAAAAGTACTCCTCCTCATAATACAGTTACAGATTTCCCTTAGCAATATCATAGTCATTGTGAGATTTGAAAAGAATATGTAGAAAAGGTTTTGATTTTCTACATTTCTTCCTCTAAACCAAAAAAGCATCTCAGGTTCTTAATATTTACTACTTTCCCAATTCTTAATTGCACAACAATTATAAAAAGAATTCATACCAGAAGAATAATGGATTTGTCTCAAAGTATCCAAAGTAATGAATAACCCAAAGACGTTAACCTGATTTTATTAATGTGGAAAATTATACTTTAATTAAATTTACTGAGTTTATTTAAAAACAAAACAAACAGAAATCACCAAATCCCTCCCTAGAAGTGTTTTGTTGTTTTTAAAACTGAGTGCATTGAAAAAAAAAAAAAAAAAGTCTGTTGTCTTTGCAATAAGTGATTACACAGAATTCAGCTGTTCCCAGTAATACTAGCATGAACTTCTACATCTTTTCTGACAATAAAAATCACTTTAATTCCTGGTGCAGTAACCAAGAATTTTAACTCTTTTTTTGACATTTGTTTTCATCAATAATTTTTAAAACTACAGTTCATATTTATTGCCTGTGTTTTCCTAAATGTGTTTTAAAATCATGTACAATTAACAAAAGTTGATCAACTTTAGCTAATAAGTACAATGGAAAATTTGCAAACTTTCTTATTGAATAGGTATAGAATACATCCCCAAAGTGCCCCATATTTCCTTTTAAGTATCTAATATATTTGTCATTTGCTCACCTGGCACAAAATGTTATAATTTTAGAGAAAAGTACCAAAGGAATTACTCTCATTTCCCATTCCTTTTTGCTAGGAGTGGATGGCTTGAAGAAAAATAGGCATAATTCATAGCTGGGATGAACTTCATCAAAATTTGTCATCAAGTAGTAGAAATCTGTTTACAGTCTTCAGATATAAATAATGTGAGATAGGTAACAAACAGACTTCACAGTTGTGTAGAAGTCTATACAGTATTAAAAACCCTATAGCTAGCGGTACCTGAGAACTAGAATTATAATATTTCTAATGCATTTTTTAAATTCTGCACAAATTAGTTGGATGTAACTGCCAAAATAAGGATAGCTGTTGAGCTTATGAAATGTTGTAATGCAGAAAATCTGGATATTTCAGAATATGCTGCTTTTTTCAGAGGTTGACTGAAAAAACAGAAATAGGAATTGCTCAGTGAAAGGACAGAATTCTACTTGTGCTCTGAACTTGTTAATACAGATCATATAAAGGACAATATTTCTATTTTTGTTTTCATCCACTGGTGATACTGCACATTTTAGAAAAAACAAATATGTCTTTGTTTCGGAAAAATGCATAGAAAATGTAAAATAAAACCCACAAATCAGTGGTTTTCTTTAACCTGTGATAAATTGGTTTTGATACTTTGGATATGTAAACTGAGGAACCTAAGAAGATCGTTGCTGAAAAGAAAAACTGCATCACGATGATGAAGACTTAAATGATATTTTAGATGGCCAAATAAGAAGCAATTATAATGCCAAAAGAGCTTTTCACCTTGGAAGTAAACAGATTGTTGCAAATATATTTTGCGAATAATATGGCAAATTTATTTATATATTTATTTATATTATTATTTGCCAATTTATTTTTCTAATCTCCCTTGGAAACCATGAAATTCACCCTTTCTTCTTATTTTCACATAAAATTTGCTAGGTTCCTAGCAGCATTTTTCATTACAGAAAATTCCTTTCTAAACTTTTCGAGAAGTGCTTAGTTTCTATGGAAAATATTATTGTTAAAACAGCAAATGTGCTACACTTTGGAAAACAAGCTATAGGGCATGATGGGAACTGTAACTCAGTTGTCTGTGTTTTGTATTGTCAGCCTTCACAGGAAACATTGTCTGGTAGAGTGCAAATTTTCTTAATGTACAGCTGCTCCTCAAATCATCATGGGAACACTCTAAATCATAGATTAACCTAAAAGAGGAATGTATTAGGTGTCCTTGCAGAACCTTTATTAACATTTTTAAACTGAAATATGATTGTTGGAAAGAGCAACCCAAAACATTTATTTTGGTCTGTTTATTGGCAAAAGTAACTCCAATGAAAAATGTTGTTGCAGTATGTAAGGACATACTATCTTCCCAACTAGCTACTAAAGGCTTATTTTAAGAAGTGGAAGTGAATTTACAATTTTAGGAACAGGAGAGAAACTGTAACAACCTCTGAAGTGCATACAGTATGAGTTAATTAAAATATTCATATTCTGTTTACCAATTGAGATTATATACTCAACATAGATTATATTGGATGTTATGATCTGTACATGGAGATGAAGGGAACCAGCAACTCAGGCTGTGATCTGCAATTTTGAACCATCCCTGATCTTTTAAGTGTTCCATATTTAAGTTGCTTCTTTTTTTCTCCTTTCTCTTCACAAAAGCCTAGATGACTTATTAAGATGTGGCGTCACCTTTGCAGCTAATATGGTGGTAGTGGACAAAGAAAGTACAATGAGTGCCGAGGAAGACTACATGGCAGATGCTAAGACTATTGTAAATGTGCAAACACTCTTTAGGTGAGACATTTCTGCAATCTATCTATACATCTTCATTAATCTTTAAATACTTAATGCCTTTTGTACTCAGATGAGAAATTATTTTTGTTTCTTTTTTTTCTATTTAAGTTTTCCCTTATATAAATTTGTGTCTTACACGGGCAATCCTTTTCCCACTCCGCTTGGCAATACAGAGTATTGAGGCATTTTCCTGAAATCTCAGGTGAAGTACTATGCATCTCAAAATTGGATGATCATTTTTAAAGTCAACTGTCAGGTTTGCAGGAGTGAAAAGAAAGCCAATCATGAAGACTTAGGACAAAAAGATAGTTGAGAAAAGAATTTTTTCCCCAGTGCAGCATCTTTCATATTAATGCTAAAGCCACTATAAAACACATGTCCTTTGAAAATGCATCAATACAAAGTTAGGAGTAAGTGTTCACATTTTGAATATTTAATTTTGAACAAAAATTGGGTTTTCGGGTGTATGTATGCAATCTTATATATGTGAACAACATTCAAAGAGTCACGAAGGAATGACCAATAGAGAGATGAAATGATCAGTCTTGGAAAGAGGCTGAGGAGGCAGTGTTGTGATGAAGAGCTAAATAAGCTGATATTCCCTGGTCTTTTGAGAGCTTCTTCTCATTAAAACCTCACTTGGTGTTACGCATCTTGTTTCAGCATGCACCAAAATACACGTCCCGTTGAACTGAAAAAATAGTTCTTCTTTGCTTAAAAACCAACCAAACAAACCAACCCACATGAAACAATACACACTATAGAGTCAGGTATGAAATGCCTCCCTAGTTTGAGGCTTAAGTCTTGCACTTCCTATTGTTCATTGGAATACGACCTGGACAGTGATCTCCTTCTCTGGAGGATCCTGTCATTCAATATTGCTGCCCTTTTCTGTCGTCAAGCCTTCCACGTAAGACCAGAGAGAGGCGAGTAGTAAAAGTCTTCTGAATCTGTCAGTGTTTTAGAAAGCTGAGCTCATTAGAACAGTTGAGGGAGATTATTTTTTTTTAATGCAGCTATGTGAGAATGCAGTTAAATGCTGCGAGTATTTCTGTACATGCTCAGAAGAAGCAAAATCTATCTGGCATGAAGAACTTTAGTTCTGTCTTTTCCTAACTTCCAGTTTTTGAATTTGTACTCAATATTAGCACAGGTACGTGCTCCATAAGCACACAAAAATTTAATTTAGAAACTATATTTGAACAATCTGTGCATCATTCAAGTCTACTCGTAACATTGTTTTGCTAGAGCATCTCACTGAGGTTTTGACATGCATACCTCAGGAATACATTTTTACCTCCCAATATAAACCAGAGAAATGAGTTGAACAAACAGTAAAAAAAACTTAAAAAGTACCAGTTAATTTTTCCTGAAGTTGTGTTCTACTTTGTAAAATACTAGAGAGAGAAAAGAAAATGGATCATAATAGTACAACACCCATCGCAGGATCCAGCTAGAACTTGCTAAATAATTGTTTGGGTGTCTTGCATAACACTTACAACTAGGTGGCAGCTTTAACTCATTTATGAACTATGCGTCTGGTTCCGTATAATTTTAAGACTACATAGCACTTGTTTTTTACCAGTATCAAAAGAGATTAGAATAAATATATTGGTTTAGGTCTTAACAATACTTTTTCAGAAAACTGCAAACTTTCAGAAGTATTGCATTGTATTTTTTTCCCACTTTTATTTCTTAGAACACATTCAATAATTTCACTGTATTTTTATATTATTTAAAAGTTGGAGAAATGAGTAAGCTTTGGGGAAAGCCATAAGGTAGTGACATTTAAATATTATACAGAATAAAATACATTAACTGGACCAAGGTAAATAGTTTTGTAAATGAACTGTTAAAATGTGTGTAAAAGGTGTTGGTTTTTTAACTTAATAATAACTAATTATATCAGAAACTAATGAAGAAGAGGCTGGACATGGTGGAGAACAACAGCACTTAACACAAACTGTAGCGTTAAAGAATGATTTTAAACCATTGGAGTTTTACTAATATATGCTGTTTTCAAAGATGAAAAAGTTTCCACTGCATTTTCACCACATGAAATTACTCAGAAGATAGAGGCTAATCTAAACCTCACTGATTTATCATAGAATCATAGAGTCCTTT